CCCATCAGCTTTTCTCAACCTCAGGTACACTAGTCTTTAATACTTCTGCAAGATTTCAATTTGTTGATAAAGAAATTTGAGATTTCTTTCATACAGTTTTTTGGGCATGGCCTTCTCTTTACAATTTTCAACCAGCATGAAGTATTTTAATGGATTTGTGTGAACCCGATGTAGCTTAGCTTAATTTCACAATCAGAATGCTTAAATTTTTTGAAATGCTTTATCGTTGGAAAGTTTATTTTAAATTGATTGCTTTTTTTCACAAGCAAGGCAACTTATATTAAACACACACTTAAAAAGAAAAATAGAAATCATGCCCAGGAAAATAAAAAAATACCAATCAATATTGAGTAACAAATCCTTGGGACTCAAACACTTCATTTGAATAATTTGATCCCAGATAAAATAGTAACCATCCTGGTAGTAAAAGAAAATAGTCCTTAAAATTAAAAAAAATTAATGTTTTTTTGCTAAAAATTAAACAAATAAAAAAAAAATTCTAAATACCGGTAGTAGAAAACACAGTTTTGGATATAGATGTTTTAATTATTCATTAACAGAAAATGATCATATTTGAATGGAGTTTTATAGACTAGTTAAACATTACAAAATGTATTTTTCATAATTTCCGTTAAAGAGGTTAGACATGTTTGATTATTTTTAATCGGGCTACTGTTTAAAATTCCATGACTTAAAATGATTACATTCAAGCTTTTTAGTGTTACACCCTTTAATTAAAAGAATATTACACTATTCTTGAATGTACAATTTTTATCAGTAAAGAAACAATGTTCCCACAGCTTTCTATGACCTTATGTATATTAAATTCTAAGACTTATAGTTATTTCTTTACACACTCTAGAATATATTACATTATTTGTACATCAAAGGGGAAAAAAGCATTTTGCTTACATTGTATTGGGTGTTCAATTTGTTTTGCAAGTATTTAATTTTGTACTTTACATGTATCTTGCTGCAATATTAGAGAGTTATTTTATCCCAAAATTCAAATGGTGGTTGCGAGTAAACAAATATATTTGTAATTAATAAATTAAAATATATTACTTTTTTTATTTTCAGAATGTTATTACTGGGTCGACGAATCACTTCCCTGTCAGCAGCCAATTTATGATAGGCGATTATGTAATGCCAGGCAACTTGATCATTCAGTCAACACCGAAGTCAGAAACATAGCTCAGCCATTACTATAAATTTGACCTTCATCCATAAATTCATGATCATTGCAACTGACTCCATAAAATCATTTTGTAAATTAGATTGATTGTAAATTCTGAATATTTTTTCTTTTGTGCTGTAATCATCAGATTATTTGATTGGACTCATCTTAGCTAGTCTTGGGTCTGCAACCAATTGATGTAACTTGGTGCTCTTGTTAATTAAAGCATTCAACATTTCATTGGAATGGTATACATTTAACTGCATTTATCATTTAATAACATGTATAATTATAGTTTATGCTAAGTGTACCAACTTTTATGAAATTAAAAGCGCCCTTCAAATTGTTTGCAGTGTTTTTCTTATTGGCACACACCCTCTACTACAGTGTATATTATCTTAAGTTTCGTTTTTAAATATAAACATTCAAAAGCAAGCATATACAAGTGATTTATCTTAGTTTAGTTCTATTTAAGCATTTATTGGCACATACAAAAGGACTTGTAAAACCATCTAGGGGGTTTATGTTTTATAAATAGTATATGATATGATCTTAAGGTAAATAAATTTATATGTTACTTTAACCTCATGGCTATAGCAATAGCATTTAAATAAACTTTAAGGGAAAAAGTCATTAATATTTATATCAGACCTGTTTACCCTCAAACTCTTGAAATCGTACAATATCTGTCAAATCATTCAATACATAATCTTAATAGTAAACAAATAAGCATAAAGTATATATAATGTATACACGCCAAAATCGTAACTGTAAACAGGTCTGTTATATGTTCATTAATGAGTAGAGAAAATAACATGTACGACCAAGGAGTATATGAATGTTTAGTAGAATTAAAGATTGCTTTTCGTCGAGGCACCATCTTTAGTAATGGTTATTGAGAGAAAAGATTTAAAAAGCTCCATTTTCAAAAGCTTATTCTTTGTTAGCATTTTTTGTATCATTATTCATTTGAAATTGAACCATACTTCATAGATCACATTCAAGATTTCAGTCTGCACTCAATAGACCTGTATATAGAAATGACCTAGACAATGAAGTTTTGACCCAAGTAAGAATGTTACATTACTGGTAAATATTTTCATGTAATATTTTTTTAAACAATGCTAATGACAACCAGCAATACTGGATGGCATGATTTATTTTTTAAAAGATGAAATTGGTTCCTAAGCAAATTATCCAGGTGTGGGTTGCCCGATTCCTAGCTAACCATTCCGGGATGTGTGTTAACCGAACTGGTATTTTAAAGTTGTTGGAAAAATATTGATTTCTTCAAGAAAACCCAATCATCTAATATAGCAGTGAATTCAACTTCAAATGCCAAAAAAATATTGTGAAATCAATAATTGTTAAATTTTGGGTGCATTACTCACTTTATTGCCATTTTAAGTTCAAGTGAACATAATGACATAATTTTGTTTATAATTGTGGAAGAATATCTGTCAAGATGATATTTAAAGAAGTGCACTTCTGTATTATTTTTTTCTTTCTTTTATATGTAAATCAATGTAATTATCATTTTGAATTTGTGTTTAAAAAAAAAGATTTAAGACGTGATGCAAATTTTGACCTCATGTAAAAAAATTAATACATAAAATTATTAAGCAGATTTACATAAATACAGAAAGCTATACTATAAGCCCAGTTGTGGCAAAGGTACCAGAAAAATGTTTTAAAATATATAGGCAGCAATTCTTGGTAGCCTAAATAAATGGAGGATGATTTAAAGTAAAATATCTTAAGTTCTACACATAAGTTCGGACTCCTTGTAGTTTATTTAAATCATATGCAACTCCATTTAAATGTTGCACTTCAACATGTTTTTTCAATCATTCATCATTTGATGTTACATGACAGTTTTCAAATATTCCTAGTAATAACACCATTACCTAGTTCAATCAACAGTTATTTACAGCTTTTCTACTATGGAATAACTTGTTTAAAAAAAAATAGTGTTGAAAATTAAAGTGGTGTTGTAGAAATTCATTTTTTCCTCTTTATCTGTACTGGTACTAAGAGGTTCTTGAAAACATTGTGTAACTTGTAACTCCACATTCTTTTTCTATTAAAACAAAATAATACATTTTTTGGAGTACCTACTTGGAATGCTAAAATAAACCTCATAAGAAATATGAAACTGGAAGCAAATAGTAAAAAGTGTATCAGAGGAAACGATTGGAACAGGATGGTATGACGCAAAATGCAAAGAACTGCAAAATTTGCAGAAAGAAAAATTGTTTGAGAAAAATACAAAAATAGTAGAGAGAAGAGTTTGCAAAACAAAGAGATGTAAAGGGAATGTACCTAAAGATAAAGCAGTAAAATAATGGCTTTCAAGCAAGAGCCCACATGTGTGAAAGTATGGGTGGAGAATTGATCACAGAGAGCTGTAGAGTACTAGAGAGATGGGCACAAAACTTTGAAGGCTTACTGAATGGCTCAGGTGGAGGAACTAATAAGGATTACGCTCTACCACAAGGAGAACCGGACCCACTGGTCAACCAACCAATATTAAATGAAATAAAGAAGTGATTTCACCATGAAAAATAACAAAGCCCCAGGAATAGACCTTATCTCTGCAGAACTGATAAAGCTAGGTGGTAATGAAATGCATCTGCAAATCCATGATGTCATAGCCAGGAGGAAGAAATGTCAATGGAATGGGACACTGCACTTATAATATCCAAATTCTCAATAAAGGATCTAAATCTAAGTTGGTCTAGTCAAACTACAGAGGAATCTCCCTCCTTAACCTAATGTACAAAATCCTCAAAAAACTTATAGCTAGAAAACTGGAAATGTATAGTGAATAGGTCTTTCGGGACTACCAATGCAGATTCCGTCAGAATAGGTCAACCACGGATCATAATTTTACCATTACTATTAGATGTCTCCTGGAGAAATGTTACGAATATAACATCGAAATACACCAACTATACATGGATTACAAAACAGCATACCAAAACGTAGACAGGAATTACTTTTACAACGCTCTACTAGAGTCCCTAACAAGCTTACTCGGCTCATACACATGACGATGGTTTACCCCAAAAGTAGAATCACGGTGCAGGAAGAAGAATACTCAGGAAGTTACCAGTTAATCGGGGCCTCAGACAAGGTGATTCACTATCATGTATCCTGTTTAACATCATGCTAGAAAAAGTTATTAGAATAACCAGTTAAACCACAACAATAACAAGCTACTTCCTCCAGAGAGGTATTACAGAACAACCATCAGGAACCTTGTATTGTTATATTACTTATATAGCCAGCCATTGCAGTGCCTGGCATACGCAGACGATATAGCGTCACTGGGTAGAAACAGTAGTGAGATAATTAAAGCAGTTGAACCATAACAGTAACAAGCTACTTCCTCCAGAGGTATTACAGAACAACCATCAGGAACCTTGTATTGTTATATAGCCAGCCATTGCAGTACCTGGCATACGCAGACGATATAGCGTCACTGGGTAGAAACAGTGAGTAATGAGATAATTAAAGCATTCAGCGAACTTGAAAATGGCTCAGTCAAAGCTGATCTTGTAAATGAACCGAAGACAAAATATATGATAATGTCACGAAACTCCCATGCTAATGACAACATCAAAACAACCACAAGTTTGAGAGAGTGGCTACATTCAACTATACTATAGATGAGGACAATGAAATAATAACAGGAGGCAACCATTCCTATTTCAGCCTACAATAGCTACTGGGAAGCACAAACCTCTCAAGGGGAACAAAGATGACAATATACATCACTATCATAAGACCATTAGTAACTTACGCTAATGAGACTTGGACCCTTTCCAAAAAAGCAGAGAACCTTCTCAATACATGAGAGAGGAAAATCCTCAGAAAAACATACGGCCCAGTGATGTAAAATGATGTCTGGAGAATCAGTACAAACCAAGAGCTATACCAATTGTACAAAGACCCACCCATAGTTGCAACAATAAAAAAGGGCATATTGAAAGGATGCCGAAATGTAGAGCAGCAATAGTGATATACAGGCAGAAACCTAGGGGCAGAGGAATCACCGGTCGCCCAAGGCTGAGATAGATTGACCATGTATAGAAGTATTTACCCCAGTTGGGGGTTCGCGTATTTAGGCAAAAAGCCATGGATCATTCTGAATGGAAGGATGTCGTGGAACAGGCCAATAATTGCAATAATAATAATAACGCCCAAAGTTCATTTGCTAACCTTACCCCTTTCCTTAAGAAGTTAGCATTAAACAAAATTTTACGAAAGATCCATTTACTCTCAATCAGTTTATTCTAATTCTATCCATTATTATAAATGAAGGTGTATGCAAAATTTGAAGTCAAGTTCATTGTAAAATAGTTTATTTTGTAAAATTTTCATATAAATAAAAGAACTTGCAAAAGATCAGGGCCTCTGATAAGGGTGTGATGTTGCTGCAGCTTTGATGTTAGTTTTGATGGCACTTGGAACCCTGCCAATACCAGTTCCTGGCACTGAAAAACAAGGACAAAAACCCCATTTGTTACAATTATTCTGAAAACAAAATATTTCATGAAGAAAGAAGAGCAACTCTGTCCATTATAGATAAAAAAAAATAACTACTAGGAAGTCACCAAGTACCCCTACAAATATTAAAAGTGTAAGTTATGGCATAAAGAGTAATAACACAGGCATCATAAAGAAAATCATAAAGAAAGTTTTTAAAAAAAGAGGATGGGGGAAGCCACATGCAGGCCTGCTTTATCGACCACCCCTTAAATCAACTATATGGCAGACTGGACCCATTTTGTGCTCTTTAATTGCTGCTCTCTATGTTAGTAATTATTTTTCAACATTTAAAAGCTTCCAAAGATTACAAGCATTATAATATATAATTATAGCAAATAAATAATAATATTAAAATTAATGATACTAAAAGGAAAAAAAATTGATTCAGAATAAAATGAATATATACAATACAATATCGATTTTAGTTCTATGGCAATATGAATAATTGAATCTATTTACTCATTGGCTTTTGTGGTTGAAGCTGCTGTTGTTGTTGTTGCTGCACTTGCATTTGTCCCATTTGAGGACCTGGTTGCATCTGCCCCTGAGAATCAGATCGTCGCAACTTTGTCCCCTTTGTTATTGCACCTATGAGTGTCGCTGTCTCGGTTGGAACTGAAGTTGGTGGCAAACTATTCTTCTGACCTGGTGAATATAAAATCAGATACATTTAGAATATATGTTTTTTTAAAAAACAACTTCCCTGAAGTTAAACTATTTTAATGCAAGTTAACCTCTGTTACATGTTACCATTAACTAATAATTGAAACTAGTTTAGGACTGGAGTTGGATAATAATCTACCTAAGAGTGGTAGTTACATATTTCATTTTAGTTATCACATAATTATGGGGTCAAAATTTTATTTTCATTGAACAGATGTATTTGAAAAAATCAAACATATATTACTACACAACTATAGCGAGGACTTGATCTCAAAAGCCAAGAATTCAACAACATGATGACTAAACAGCGCTTACCCATTTTAAGTTTGAAATGTTAAGATACTGGATCAATTAACAAAACTAATTCAGACAAAAATAACCCTAAAGGAATTATTTTTTGGTTAAACCTTTTCTCTGCCATTACGACTAATTGCAGTGGACTTACTTTGCCTCTCTTCTGTCACTTTTTGCCTGTATTTAATCTCTCACCTACATATGATCTGTCACATTCCTCTCGCTGCCATCTTGGATACTATATTGCACCTAAGGGTTATTTTTATTTTATTCTATTTTTACTGTTTTCCACATTCATTATTTTTTTGCATTCTTATTTTCAGGTTTTCCCATACTTTGTTTCACTCATTTCCATTTTTTTGTGTGGAGAAAACCTGTAACGCTTTTCTACAAATTCTAATTTATTACTATATGGAAAATAATTTGGAAGGGGACAATACTGGGCCAGATTAGGATCAAATACCCTATACTGGTACCTCTTAAGCCACACAAAAAAATCACTTGGTTAAGTACCTTTATGTAAATATTTAAATATAAGGGTAGTGTTAAATTTAAGCCCCATGTACAGTGAGCTTTAAGTTATTGATACTGATACTGTCCTTACAGGATTAGGCAAGAGTATTGGAAATGCTATTTGTTTATCTCTCAAACAGAGATGACAGATTGTGGAATTGGTAAATCAAGGACACAAACAGGGGCAGTAAACAGACACAAACAGGTGCAGTAAACAGCACCAGTTTATAAAACTCTGTTCCCAAAATCAAATTTAAGATCCAGAAAAAGCCGAACTCCGAGAAAATTCAGTTCACCATTAATTGTAAATAAATCCCTTGACACTCCACACTGCCTGGCACAACTTATATTTGTGTTTTGCTGATGTCCTGATTGAAGATGTTCAAACTTCTGACTTTTAATTTAAAAATCACAACACCTAGTTTGTTAATGTTGAAATTAAAAGTAAAATTCAACAAATTCAGCAAATGATACTATGAAAAATTGCATTAGAGCAACTAATACTACGGTGCTATGAACATTTGTGAGCAAACAATAGTGCTAATATAACATCAATTTGATTATTTTTACAGGATGTAGAGTACCGGTACATAATTAATCTTATGATTTCATTACTTATTCTAATTATAGATCAAAGCTTGTTAGCTGTGCCAATAATTCCAAGTTGACAATAAAATATACAGTAGGCCACTGATGTCTAACATAGAAGTAAGCTTGTTAGTAATGCCACAAACTCCAAGTTTACAATAAAATATACGGTAGGCCACAGATGCCTACTAACACAGAACTAAAGAGAAGTCAGATAATTTAAATTGTAAATGCTCTCCAAGTTAAATTAATCATCAGCATCCCATAAAAGAAAGAGCAACTTATTTCATTTATTAACATTACCGGTACTTCAATTATTTTCAACTCATTCTAATGTACCAGTAATATAAATATTTATTAAACTGTCTTACGAACTGCAGTCTGTGCAGTAAAAGAACTGAACTATCACAAGAGCACTAAAAAAAAAAAGTGTTTGAAAATCCAAAGTTGTAGTTTCTTTAGCTTTGTGACATTTTACTTGACTTACTAGAATCTTTATCCCATTCATCACTAGAGGCATTGATAATGTCCAGTATATTGCTTGTAATTTTATTTAAAGCTGTTAATTGTTTCTGGGGAATACAAAAGAAAGAAATAATCCTTCATATACAATAGTGAGATAATTTTTTAAGAGTAAATTTCCTTTGGTTACGGGAGGGAAGAGTTTTGTTTTCTCAGCAGTTTTATATTATTTCTATTCTGCAAGCAGCCTTTTTATAATCATAGTAACTGCAACAAAAATATAACAGAGTTATGAAGACTTTATGAAAAAAAAAAAGACAACTTAAAAAAATGTTATTTTACATTGATTAAATTAGAATTAATTATTAATTTACTTCCATTTTTGTTTCTCTATTGTAAACCCAGAGCTTGCTAAATATAACCACTGAGTTCAAAAACAAGAAAAAAGAAAACAGGAACGCCCAAATGCTGAACTGTACAGAGAAGTAGAGTATGCTTTAAAAAACAAAAACAAAAAACTTGTATAAAGTTTTATAAGGACTCCCACATAAGAAGTTGACTGCACGTCCTGAGAACTTTTGCTTTAGTAGTAAGAAGCCTAATGAAATAAAATTTTAAAATTAAACAAAAAATAAAAATTAAAATCATACAGAAGGCTGCATGCAAACAAAAATAACACTGATAGTGTGAGTGAAAATGTCTTATCTCAAAGCTACAAGAACTTGGACAATCACTTTTATCTGAATTCCATGCTTTTTCTGAAACAAGTAAATAGAGTAAATTACATAGGAACAAGCTAAAAATCTGTTATAAAAAATAAAAGCAATAAATAAATGGGCTGTATGCTTCAAAACATGGGCTCAGATTAACAACTGCTTTGAAGGAAGGTGAAGTCTCAGTCCAGGTATTATGTAGGTTATGATATAAATTAAAAATGGGAAATCATGTCATCTCACCTGTGCCACCTCTGGTGTAATTGACGAAGCTTTTACACTCAACAGCTGAACTTTCTCTTCAACCTCTGGTTCTGGTTTTGTGCGCAGGTAATCTGGAACAACCTCATGATTGAATGCTAGCACACGTCCTTCTGTGAGTTTCTGAAAGGAGAATGGTTATACAAAAATTTAAACATTTGTCAAAAAAGATTTTGATTTGTTTGTGTATTTATGGATCATTATAAAATATTTGAAAAATATATGATAAAGCAAGCCATAACAAATCCTTGTCTATTTATCAATATTATTGATTTAAATTTTACAAAATCTTAATATTTATTGATCCTTGCCATGATGTATGTCACAGAATTTTTAATATGATGCAGTAACCCCAAACAATAAGACATGATAATTCTAAGCCTGTCATACTTAAAAACAAACAACAAAGCTGGTGTGGGAAAGTAAGTAAAGAAGTAAATTGAAAAGTTATCATAAACATGCCAACTTGTGAGACAAAAACACAGTAAAATAAGTCCCAAAACCTTGCACAAAAACATAAAAACAGGTTTTATTTTTTAAGCACAGAGGGTGAACAATCTCTAGCATGTTATACTATACCCGGTACCATAAATTAAAAAGTGTCTGGCTATCTATTATTTAAATGTGTTCAGTGTTATATAATATTACCTCTAGATGTGGATCACGATCAGGTGAGAGCAGAATTGGGAATAAAACATAATTTCTCAGCAGTGGCATCTTTTCAGCCTTTAACAGTCTTTTAGTAGTACTTAAGCCAGAAGAGAGAACACCAAAGTGTTCCATCATATTAGGCCTGTACAAAAGATTTTTAAATGTTCAAATTTAGTGAAAGATTTTTCAGACAAAATATTAACATTTACCGGTTTGTAAAATATTAAATTTTTCTTACTTACAGCTCAACACGCCAATTCACACTAGCAAACCACTCTCCCCACCATCTATTCAATTCAATAAAGCTAAATGTATGATCACACTGCTTATTTGTTACTGAGAGTTAATCTCAAAATTTCTGTTACTACATCCTCTAGCTGAACCAATTGTAGCTGGGAAAATTTTGCCATATTAATCTCAAAATTTCTGTTACTAAATACTGTAGCTGGTCCAAAAAAAGGAGACCAACAATGATCATCTTAGGTTTTTAAACGTATCAACTCAGCTGGCAGTATGCAAGCACAATAATGTCAGATTTTTATCAGCATGCATACATTAACAGATGGCAGAGCTTGCTTACAAATTAGTATTTGATTATAGCCCAGCATATTGTGTAGTTGGAAGATACAAATTAATAAACCGAGATTAGAATTCAATTCACTAAACTACAGTGACATTTCTGAAGATTTGCATCAAAACAATGCAAGTTATCAATAAACTATAGCATTCTTTCTTGTTTGTTTGTGTGTGTGTGGCTTTAAACATATAGCCTAACTAAGTGACACTAGAAATGATATGCAATACATGAAATTGATACTGACTGCTTTAAAAATTTGACTAACAAACAAATCAACATAACTCTGAAGTTAACTCTACGACTGCCAGAAGTTCTAAATTGTTATAGTAATTTTAGATTATGGTGAAAAATGCATGTGATGAAATAGGTCATTTAAAAACTAAATTATTCTAACTTCATACAGTCTTGTTCTATATCTGTAAGTCTTGTCCTACTTTATCTATCAGACTTGCCCTACTGTAGGCCTATCTATCAGTCTTGCTCTACTTTATCTTTCAGAGAAGTTTCATTTCAATGAAAACATACTTACCATGAAATATTTTGATAATCATTTTCAAGTTTATAGATAAAGCCAGCTATGCTCTGTTTCAGCTCTCTCACATGGTGAATAAGATCATCAAGAGATGCATCCAACTGCTTTTCCTCTTTCTTGAACAAAAATGTATTACTCATATTAAAATAAAATTATGCCATTGTGGGGCATACTACCAGTATTACTATATGGAAAAATATTAGACACATTTCATTAAAATAAATAAATAAAACAATCTATATCCCAATATTATTAATTCAAATTAGCGATACTTGGTGTGTATAAATCAAAGCCTAGGCCTCTACACATTAAAAAAATTAATATTAAAGTAGGGCATTTTTAGCTCTGAGTAAACTTGCTGGTTAAAAGAAACAAATTCATTTGCATTAAATTGCCTAGAATAAAATGCAATACATAGTAAACCGTAATTATCATGGGTTACATTTTCGTAGCCTACCATTTGGTTACAAACAAACAAACATGGGTTGTTTTTATCAAGCCATTGTAAATAATGAGACAAAGATGACTTTTATCTCTAGTAATTTACTTCTAAAGAACTAAAGAAATCAAATAGCTATTGTAGTACTTGCTAACTCTTGTAAGTAGTACTGGGGTACTACAAGTTTCTTTTACAACTAAAATACTTGTCCTCAATTAGACTAGTCAGTAGTGGCTCTCAAAGTTGGTGGCGGCAGGTGGAATGACCGAGGCAGAATAAATGGCACAAAAAGAGGAAGAGATTGACACAATCAATTTGTTTCACTTATGTTCACCTCCTGCAATACCCAATTGTCTTTAGTGCCTCCTAACATTACTAACATTGTCCCCCCATACTCGTCACAGTCATAGAATTTAGAAACACATGGAATTTGTTTTGTCTTGACCTTTGTTGATTTAGTAAATGGTTGCTACCCTTTTGGATTAGATATTATTATTGCTAAACTACATTTCATATCATTAAACTTAATGGTAAATCCAAATTTTGCTTTATTTAGAAGTAGCAGAAAGAACATATAAATAAGATATTGGTATATAGTTCTAGTTCCTACCTAGCCCTCTTATTAGTTTATTAGGCCACCATTTTTAAAATTAAATATGAATCATTGTTGAACATAATTCAACAATTTATTTTGTAAGTAGGCCTACACTTTAATAGCTATAAATAACACTTTTTACTACTGTTTTGGGCATTATGACTCACAGTAATAAATATTAGGCCTAAAACTATATGGCTATAACTATGCATATCATTTCCCTAAATTTGTTTGAAAACAATTTGTTCAAAAGGAAATTCATTTCTTTTTAAAATTATTATCCTTTTCATTTATGTTTATTATCAGGAGTTTTTAAATTAATTTTATTTTGTGATTTTGGTTTTATTAGGAAATACAACGATCAACAAAATATAATATTAAGTTACAAAATTAGATAAAATGTAGGCCTGATTTTCTTGACCTTCATATATATTTATTACTGCGAGTCATTCAGCAAAATAATCGCATTAATGGCCATAATGTGTTGTGTATATTAAAAGTATATTTACACCTTTGTTACGATTATTTAGAATAAGTATAAGAATCTTACAATACAATCTACAATTGTATGATTAGAAAGCCATTAATTTCTAGCATTGTAATTTCATTAACTATTAACTACTTTGAGGTCTCTTGTGTATCACCAGAACAAGCAGTGAAATGCAAATAAACTATTCATTTTGATTGGCTACATTTTCTTCATATTTTAGTTTGTAATACCGGTAGCTTATTCAGATGTAAACATAACAATGGCTTGAATACTAACATACTTTATGCTGTCAATCCTCAAAAATTACTTCTATATTTCATAATTATTATTATAATAATAATATAATATATATAAGCATTTTTGGAGTTAATAATTCTACTTAATACTTAGTTGCATAGTCTAGTGGTCCTGGAACCCATGGCTATATAATATTAGCCAATTAGTAGGCCTAAAGTTTATCATTATATTATAATGATTATAGTAGGCAAGTAGCCCTTTACTTTTACGATACATCATAATTCAGTATTTAGTATCATACTCATTGTTGCAACTTGACCACTCATGTTGACATAATCATTCATTACCGTCAGTTACACCTCAAGATCCACTAAGTGGGCCTAGGGGCCACCCATAAAAATAAATGACATCACACTATTCAAAGACTGTTGCTTATTTTTGTAAATTTTTTATTTTTACCTCTGAAGCCCAAAAAATAATGTCATAAAATTGTAACACAAGTTAATTAGAATTTAATTAGACACTTTTATCAACATTATCAAATTCTAGACAGCTATACTACCAGTGGCTTCTAGGCAGCTATTGACTATTGGTAATTTACTATCCAAAACTACTAATTGGTAATAGACTGATATAGAGCAGTATTGACTAAGTCAAAGTATTGGTAGTCACTATTAATAGTATTAAAAAAAAAATTAAATCACCAAAATCACAATCAAAAGTAGGTACCGGTATGTGAAATTCCGACTTTTTGTGTCACCAATTCAATGTGTTGCCGAAAAAAACCAAGCATTCCAACGTTTTAGACAGGTCATGTCACACTTCAAAATTTTCATTGTTGTCTAGTCTCATTATTTCCCTCCAAATTGGATTTTCAAGGCATAATACCCTTATTTTCTTAGTTTTTATTTATTTTATTTTTATGTATCACTGCTTATATTTTCATTGGATTCTATGCTATTAAAAACATTGATTTTGCTTAGCATTAATTAAAAAATGAATAGTAAATAGGGATTCCTAGACATTAAATTAATGTATTTGTTATAGATGAAAAATTGCTTAATTGTGTAACTCACTAGGCCATCTCCCACCAGAAAATCAATTGGGGGGGGGGGGGGGGAAGGAGGTCATGTGACTATGTTCCTAAACAGAAATTGGCCAAAGCTTCTGTTGCCATCTTTGAGTCAATCTTTACTATACCCTTTCAATTAACTAAAGTAACAATATTTTTTATATGACATTATATTGTATGCAGTAAAACTATTATTATTGTATTTTCAATATCTAAGGCTAGGCACTTTGATGAAAATTTCAAAACATTTTTAAAAATATAAAAATACTACAGCTGTATAGAGCCTGGTGAAAAGATTACAAAAACACCAAGATCAACTTTCTAGCTCAAAGCTCAAGTGGTTCAAAAGTTATGAATTTTTTAGTAGGGACCTCAAAGGCACTTTTTTACTATGGGATTTTCCTCCACATTTTGTGACCATCAATTTGCTTTAACTTTAGTGCAAAATGAGACAAAAATATAATATTTACGGGGAACATAGTAAAATAAGAGTACCTCTAAATAAAGCCACAAAATATAAGTTAGTTTTTGTTAATATTCCGCAAAAAAAAAAAAAATCTTGATTTTTTCATTTTAAAAAAAAAATGTATAAAATGTGCTGATTTGTCAATTATTTGAAATTAATTAATTCTGTGAAAATATTTTTTTAAAAATTTCCCTAAAATCATCCATCCATCCCTGTGGCGCTACAGCCCATGAAGGGCTTTGGCCTGCCTCACCACTTCCTTCCACTCAGACCTAACTAATGCCTTTCTTTTCCATGCTTGGACTTTCAGCTGTTGTAGATCTTTTTCCACATCATCTATCCACCTAAGCCTAGATCTGCCTTTGAGCCTTTTTCCTCTGGGGTATTGGTGATGCACCCTCTTCGTTCCTCTGTCATTTGGCATTCTCTCTAGGTGTCCTGCCCACCGTAGCCTGCCTCTTTTTATTTCTGCTACTATCGTGAGATCATGATATAGACTGTATAATTCATGGTTGGTTCGTATTCTCCGTCCATATTCATCCTTTGTTGGCCTATATATTTTCCTGAGAACTTTCCTCTCCCATGTGTTTTATAGGTTTTCTGCTGTTTTTGTTAGGGTCCAAGTTTCACTTGCATATGTTACAACTGGCCTGATAACAGTTATATAAATAGTTTTCTTTGTTTCTCTTGTAATGTTTTTACTTTTGTGTATTTTCTGACTACTGAAGTATGCCCTGTTTCCGGCTGATATTCTTTCTTTCATTTCTGTTAGTAATTCGTTTCTTTCATTTAACAAGGATCCTAGGTATTTGAATTGACTTACTTTTTCAAAAGTCTGGTTTCTAATGTTAATTGCTTATCTGTTCGTTCTTCTCTTATCATGGTCATGTATTTGTTTTTTGGTTGTTAACTTCCAGCCCTGCTTGTAGAGATGCATCTTCTAATTCAATAAAGAATTTTGATATGTCTTTAATACTTTTCCCTAGAAGTGCAATGTCATCACCATATTCAAGTTACTGAATTGGTTGGTTGTAGAGTGTGACCGTTGGTTGTGAGTCTTGAGTTTCCCTCAGAAAGTATCCTGTTATAGTTCCTTGAATGTCAATGTGTATGTTTCTAATAACTCTCTCCAATGTTAGGTTAAAAAGCATACAAAACAGTGTGTCTCCCTGCATTAGGCCTTGTTTAATATGAAATCCCCTTTAATATTCTCCTTGAATCTTGACTTTGCTTTTTGAGTTGTTTAGTGTTACATGTATTAGTCTTGTCAGTTTGCTGGGTATCCCAAACTCCTGCAGAGTCTCATAAGTCATATAGATAGTTTTTTTGATGCTGTCATAGGCCATTTTATAGTCCCCATAGAGTTGATGTACTGGTATATTACATTCATAGCATTTCTCTAATAGGCATCTGATGGTAAAAATCTGATCAGTCAATCTGTTAGGCCTGAATCCACAATGGTAATCACCTATTATTTCTTCAGTGTAAGGTTGTAGTCTTTTGGTAATAAGCTTTGTCAGTATTTTGTATATTCCTCTGTAGTTTATGCACTGAAGTTTGGAGCCTTTCTTGTGTATTGGGGTTATTAATGCTGTTTCCCATTCTGTTGGGATTTTCTCTTCTTGCCAAATTTTAGTTATAAGTTTATGTATCTGATTGTGTAGTTCTTTTCCTCCATATTTAATCAGTTCTGCTGTTCACAGTGTGATGAGGTCTTTCCAGGGGCTTTGTAATTTTTCATATAATTAATTACCTCTTTGATTTCTTCTAGGGTTGGGAATTGTATAAAAGGGTCTGGTCCTCCCTGTGGGGGTTGATAATCTTCTTATTGTCTATTGTCTGCATTCAGTATGTCCTCAAAATATTCAGCCCACCTCTCCAGTACTTTACTATTTTCTGTGATTAATTCTCCATTGTGGCTCTCACACATTTGTGGTCTGGCTTGGTATCCATTCTTTTCATCTTTTATCTTCATGTACATTCCTCTTATATTTCCCTCTCTTGATAAATCTTCTATTTCCTTTAGTTTATCTTTTTCCCATTCCCTCCTTTTCTTCCTATACATTTTTGTTGCTTTCCTTCTGGCTTCCTTGTATATTTGTGTTGTCTTTCTGGTTTCCCTTTGTAACATGATCATTCGTGCTTTGTTTCTTTCTTCCACAGTCTCTCTGCATTCATCGTCGAACCAGCCTATTCTATTATTGGCTTGCTGAAATCCCACTACTTTTTCTGCTGATCTTTTAATGGCATTTTTTATCCTATCCGACTGATCATATATGATTAAAATAAGCATTATTTTACCTTCAATTTTCAAAGTTAAGATCTCAAATATTTTTTAGAACAAAAGTGTCTAATAACAAAACATGTCTACTCAAAGTTGTGGGCAGAAATAGAATGAAAGAATGTGCATGCTGGGCTATTATTAACAAAAAAATCGTAAACAACGAGGCTCTCTGTAAATTAAAAAGTGGAGGTCGCCATTTTGATAACGAAATCATGATACCCGGTTTTCGGCAATTCCCGGATCTCATCGAAGTGCCTACTAAGGCCTATATTTTAATTAATAATTTTAATTATAATAATTAGCATACAAAACATTTTTACAATGAAATTATTTCTCAGCCTCAGCTGAATTTTAAAGCTAAAATTATTTCAGTTCAGGATTCATTATCGAGTACAGGTCTTGTCACCAGTAAGAATTAGTAATAAATGAACCGGGCAATATTTTGCCATCATCTTGGAAAGTGGGTTTTTAAAGATCTCATTTTCTTTTGCTAGGCTGGACTACCAAGCTACAAGAGTCAAGATATTGGCATTGTCATTGAACTCATTGGTTGTTTACTAAAAATAGCTCTGTAGTAAGTAGAAGCTATTAACTATTAGTAGAAATACTACTAAACTACCAATTCAATAGACATGCACCCCCCCCCCCCCCCCCCTCTTCTTTAGCTAACCATTAGTATATTAATAGAGTAGCCAGAAGGCCTTGATTCACATACTACATACACTGAAAAATGATGGAAGACTTTGGCTTGGCTTATTTAGTTAGGTTTCCTTTAGTTTAGCCGGAGGATACTCCTTGGACCTTAGATTAGGCTTAGTGATCCACTAGCCCAGTTGTCAGCAAAGGTGTTTTTCAAAAGAGCCAAAAATCAGCAGCAGGATGATTTAAAAAATTTTGAGAGCCAAATTTCTTCTCAAGAACCACGATTTTTGAAGTCAAAACCGATTAGTGGCTGACTAGCCAAGCCACTGCTGAACTAGCCTAAGTTAAATAACACATTTTATTGATTTAGTCTTTATAATATAAGAGTTATACGGCCCGCGTCTATTTCCATGCGTGCACTTTTACATCTTAAATCGATCCCTATGCCACTATGACTATGCCTAACCCGAACCCTAAATCTATCCCTATGCCTAACCTGAACCCTAAATCGATCCCTATGCCTAACCTTAACAAAGTCGACGTGGGCCGCTAAATCTGAAACAGCCAAGTTATAGTACTAAGTTAACTAAGTACGACTACTATGTCACTAGTACTAGTCTATGATACTGACACACTATTACTATACTATACGATACTATAAGTAAGCAATTTGTAACTAGTATTTGGAACAAATCTGATTGATAATTTATTTTAATGCATATTGTAATTGTTCTTACACTTTGTGAAGTTTGCATCCTCAAGTTATTAAAAAATAGCAAGAAAGAGTTATTAAAACATCATAACACAATATTCAATCAGTTCTTAATTTATTTATTGATTTCCCCGGTCACTGCATCTAAAGGGAAAATAAATAATAACTTCCGGTCACTGCGCATGCTCAGACAAACTTTAAAAAATGTTCAGTGACCTATTTTTAAAATACCCGCAGAGTCGACGACGCCATCTTTTGTTGTGATTTACATTTTCATTGGTAAGAATCACATTTACAACGCTGTTTTAATAAGATTATTTCATATTTATTCCATATCAATGAATTTATGTTATACTCATCACCTTTAACAACAGAAAACAAAATTACACCAAGAAGTTTGATTGGCGAATTAGATTCTTTGTTTTCATTGGTGGAAATAGAGAAGAAACTGATGAGATGATTGGATTGGGTGTAACCTACACTATACATTCCGACAAACCAAATTAAATTATTGGACCAATGAATATTTTTCTGAGAATCATTGGTCAGACAAAGAAAAATCTTTGAACGCCGTTAATTTAGGCTAAACTATGTTTACAGTTACTTAACATGCTCAGTTCGGTTAGAGGGCGTGAGTCAAAGAAATTCCGATTCGACATTTTTTTTAGTCTTGTTTGACCGTCCTTTGTAGCCCCTTTACTATTACTAGGCTTCGCGAAGAACTCTATCTTCATTTAATTGCCACGATTTACAATATTACATGGCAAATAAAATAAATATATAGCTAATTAATATTTAAATAAAATATATGTTTAGTAAAATGCTACCAAATGATTAAAAATACACAAATTGATGTCATTGACATATCATGGGGTTAGAGGGGGTCTTCCATTAATTACGTCAACAATTATTTACGCATTTTTACCCCCTCCCCCCCCACAACTGTGCAAACTTCAAATACAATTGTTGGGAAATCAATAATTACAGGTTTAGCTTGTTAATCAAGTTCAAAAGTTTTTACACTTAAATTTTATAATGCAGAATCAATTGAAAGATTGTTAAGGTCTAAATATCATTGTTTGTGGAAGTATAAATATGATTATTGTCAGTATAGCTGACAACTATGGCATAGTTTCTAGCTGCTATCATACTATCAGGCTATCATCTTCCCATGGCCATGGATGGGCATAATCTACTATAGTAGCTGATTTATCATTTTCATCTTGCAGAACTGATATTGATATACCTGACACGTCAACATCGTCATCATCCTTATCAAACCATTCATCACTTAAAATTTAAAAAAATAGAAGTATTGTCGGTGTGAGCCATAAGCTCTCTCTGTCTTTCAGTTGGTATAGTTGTTATTGTTATCCGTGTACAGTAACAATGATGTTTTAATCATTCTAGGGAGTTGATTTAGAATTATAAGAGACAAAATGACAGGTGAAGAGATGCCAACTTTTGACTTCTCTTGGACTAACAAAAAGTTTGCTAACATTCTGACCAACCATGCCATCTGCTTTGCACATACAGACACATATTGAATAACTCTTATATTGTTAAAAGCCTAAACATATATGACTCTTTACACTCATTTAATTGTTTAAAATAATGTAAGTACCGGTACAAGTAAATTTTTAAGATTAAAATTCTAATAGAACGAACATGATTGCTGACGTCAACTAATCTAGACTCCCCCCTTGTCAACAATTGTCAAACATTTCCAACACTCCCCCCATTTTGTTGATGTAATTAATGGACACCCCCATAGGTCTATTACTATAAATACTATTTATCAGGAATTACGCTTGGCCTATCTATGGCTATGCCTTTGGCCTCGTATATTGCCTATAGTCTATATTAATGATAATATATTGCCAATTTAGGCTGCTACTTACTACTAGGCATATTCATATTAATATATCACATAATGATACTGATAGGGCATATTAATGCCTGCTACTAATCAAGTCCTCTAGACACTCCAATTTAATATGTAATGTATAGTATATGAATATGATAATATGAACTTTAATAGTAAAGAAAGGTTAAGACACATAGGCCTATTGGACTGTGAACTGTGGTATACACACTCAAAGCAGCATATAACTTGAGCTAATTTTCGGATGCACACAAATCCTTTCGGGCCACCCATAGATGACGTCACAAAAATTTTGCAGATTTTTGTACTCTCCCCCATCATCACAAATAGTTAGACCCCCTTCAATATAATGTCACAAACCTCAGCACACCCCCACCCCCAAAATTTAAAAAAAAATCTCTTTCCACTATTGCAGTGGTTCTCAACCTTCCTAATGCCGCAACCCTTTTTCTGGTGTCCTGGCGACTCCTGCCACACAATTATTTATGTTGCTACTTCATAGCTGAAAGGATATGCGTTGTCAGATGGTCTTAGGCTACTCTTGGTAAAGGGTCGCGCGACCCTTTTGAGGGTCGCAACGAATGTTCCCTTTAAGCTGCGCATCCACGCAGTTATCTCACAGACGCCGCCAGCAGTTGTGGGCTGTAAAATTTTGCACATAAAAAAAATTGATGCTGTAAACTTTGCACACAACTGTATGATTCATGATTTTGTACACAAACCAGCAAATCTTAGAGGGAACATTGGTTACGACCCACAGGTTGAGAACCGCTGCACTATACTGTCAATTATAAACCCTTAAAAAACTTTCACCTCCAATGGATATCAATAACTGTACATGTGTCAGAAACATTTTCCCCAGAACAGCGGTTCTTAACCTGATGTGCAGAAGACCAAGAACATTTTATTTCCTGCCAATGATAATTGTTGCCGCATTAAAAAAAAAAATCAGTTTGTATACATTTTAACCCTTTACATGGCAGACCTTCTTCCTTTTGCTAGCTCTGAACGGGCAACATTGTTCTGGTTTTTAGTAAGAATTAGGGTTACGTTAGTAAAAACATCAAATCTAAGGTGTTAGTTAACAAATTTTTGTGAAATAAGAAAATAAAAATATGGAAGATGGATGCAGATTTATTATTTTACTCACATGTTGCCATTAATCCACACATGAACACAGATATTTTCAAAACACAACATATTGTTTGTGATTGTCAGTCATCCATTTACTATTTACAAACACTGCCTAATCAAAGTGTGTACACTTAAACTTAAAACACTGCCTACGCTGATATCACTAATAATATTATTAATATCTAGTTCCGATTAATAGTCTATTTTGTACTTTTCAATGTCATTTAAATTGAACCCAGCGAAATCTCCGCTATCACTTGAAGAATCGTCATTTTGAGAAACAAAGCATTAAAACCCTGAAAACTACAAAAAAAATCAGATCAAATACTTGTAATTGGCGCCCACTCTGTCAAGCTATTGGCAAAACCGTGTGTAAAAAATCGGAAGTATGGCAAAGTCACGAAGATCGCATGTTTACAACTCTTAGTAGTCACTGAAGCTTTCAGACGTTTAGCCCTTTTAAGTTTAAAGTAGTAAAGACTTTTTGGCAGATCTGCCCTGTAAATGGTTAATTAGCAGCAGTAAATGTTTTTGTGGTGAATTTTATTTTCGCAGTACTAGTATATTTGTTTAGTAATATTTATAGTGTTTCTAGAAAGTTTAATTAGAGAAATAATATGAAAATAACTTAATTAGTTAATTATTATCATTTTAAAAAATTTATTATAATATAATTTATGCGGAGTGGTCTGCTGAAAATGTTTTGAAATTGAGAGGGATGCCACGCTGTGAAATGGTTAAGAATTCCCTAGAATATTTACTAAGATCCCCCCCCCCCCCCCCCCGTCAACCATTTTCAGTTCCATCCCACTTCTTGTAGTAGCCCTAATTCTTTCACTCGCGTTTCCACATTTAGACTAATTCTCACAATTGTCAATGTCAGTATACCCTGATTCTCTTCCTCTGTGACGTCCTGTAATAGGATCAGAGGCCATTTTCAGACCCCTCAAACTTGTACTGATTCTCTCAAGGATTATAGTTTAAAAATAAAATTATTATAATTGTATAAAAAAATAAAACTTAAAATGTATTTAATTTAGTGTTATCACGTGCCTTTTTTTCCAGTAATGTTCTGCTTAAACACCCCATCACATCGTCAAAAAAATGGGTGCCCCCTGTCATTTATGGAAGTCCCCTTTACCCCTGTGCCCCCCGGCCACGGCTTTCTGCTTTCAAATGAACCCCCACCCCCCTCCTCATTGTGAATAACCCCTTTGTAGTTTTTTTTCGTGTTTTATCACTTTAGCAACTTTATGAAGTATTTGGCATTTCTATAACTTTAATCTTAACTTGTCGGAGGGATGGAAACATTGATATTGAAAGAAAAAGCCCAACAAAAATCTTTACACCTGTGATAACTTGGCAAGAGCCCCCCTACCCCCCTCGCCAAACATAGGACGCCAAAATCTTAAATTGTCAAAATGAATAAATATCATATATATGATTATATATATAATGTCTATATCATGTATTGGGAAGGGTGCATGTATATGGAGACGTAAGCTTTTCATATCTTTCTTTTCCATGTCTGTAGTAATATAGTAAATTAACACTGCATATTTCAATCTTTTCTTTCTCAGCAAATACAACTTGGCCTTCAAATTAAACCCTGAGAATGTCAAACGACCAAAGCTTTGGTTCTCAGGGTGTGATATCAGATCAAGCTCAACTTATGTTAGCAAACTTTTGGCCAGGAGTGATTGAAAATATTAAAAATCTCAGTGCTGTATGTTATAGGTGTATCCATAGATGATTAGTTTTTCATTATTTGCTATAGTTTCGGTCCCTAAAAAATGAAATATATGAAATAACTTTGAAAAATATGTTACTTTTTACCATACATTATGTAACAAAAGAGAAACCTAGTTTTAAATGGCTAAGGTTGATGAACATTCAATTATTAAATTAAATAATAAGTTTATACATTACCAGAATGACTACAAAACTCAAGAGCTCCCTTTGGCCAGAATAAAAAAAATAATGAAACTTGATGAAGATGTCAAGGTAACTACATTTTTTCTTGCATACCTATTTAAAAAATTTATGAAAAAAGAACAGTGAAAATTGGGGATTATTTTTTTCACACATAAGCTGCATTTATCATTTGATAAGTTGTGTTATGCAGAGTCAGTTTTTCAGTTTTTTTCTAAATAAAAAAAAAAATTATTTGTAACATTTTCAGATGATAAGTGCTGAGGCTCCTGTTTTGTTTGCTAAAGCTGCAGAAATATTTGTTAGTGAGCTTTCTTTACGGGCATGGATTCATACAGAGGACAATAAGCGTAGAACTTTACAGGTAAGATGTTCATTTTGATCATTTTGTTTTGTATTAATCTTGCTAATCATTTCAGTCTGAATGGAAGGATATGGCTCGGCATGTCAGATACCTCCAAGGCCTGTAGCAACATTGATGATAATGATGAATAATTCTCTTGAAATATTGTATAATTGAACGATTAAAAAAAAAAGAGTAATTGTTTTTGCTTTTTGGAATACAATTTATTATGTTTTATTCAACAGCGTAATGACATAGCAATGGCTATCTCAAAATTTGATCAGTTTGATTTTTTGATTGATATTGTGCCGAGGGAGGAATTGAAGCCAAGTAAACGTCAAGTAAGTAGTCTTTATTTGTTACCTTTTAAATACATTAACTTTTCATTGTTTTGAAATCCAATTTTTCAATTTACGCACTGTTTAGATTTAACTTGAATGATTGACTAATTAAATACTAAAGAAACCAGTAGCTTTTGATAAAAATCAAACAGTTTAAAGAAAAATTAATAAAACATAACAGTTCAGAAATTATTCTTCTAGTATATGCTTCTGGCTCAAAATCAACAATTTTCTTTTTCTTTTAAAAAGTTGAACTAATCTATGCTGTGGTAATATTAAATATATCACTGAGTTGGGATACAAAAATTAACACTAGCAACATCTTATTTTGATGCTTGTTAATCTCATAATTTTTTCTTTGATTACAAAAGACTAATTTAAATTTTAAGGAAAATTTATTTGAGGCAGGAATAAGGCACCTAAAATGGTGCAAGAAAAACTAATTTTAAAAACAAAGGAGTCATTGAATTTTAATTTATTTTCTCAATATTTATATATATTTTAATTTCTTCATTAAAATTTTATATTTAGTTTTCCAAGTTCTTTGGTTCTCTTTGTATTTTAAAAATAGAAAAAAATATTTAAATGCATTGTTAATTTTGTAGGGGTGTCAGACTGAGTCAAACAATTTGAAGGAGTCTTAGAATATAGAAAAAACAGTTTATAGGAGATTTAGAATATAGAAAAAACAATTTGTTGGCGTTTTAGAATATAGAAAAGATTGGAAAACCATGGGTTAAGGTTTCTATGAATTAAGTGGGATTCCTCAGTACATTGATTATCTTTTAAATTTAAATAACTAGAATTTAAATTTGCTGACTGGTCCCACCTGAACTAATTGCAATAAATGTTATATATTCATAATATTGCTGAGAACTTATGGATTTCTAAATTATTTTCACCAACATGTTGTTTCTCACAATCACAAAAAAGGATGAACTAGGCAGAGGGGGAGGTTCACTCCCAGAGCAAATTCAGTACTACTTGCAGTTAGCACAACAGCAGTCCCAGCAAGCACAGCAAACTCAAGTACAGCAGCAAACACAGCAACAGACTCAGGTATATATATTCTCATATAGACTGTGAAGCATTTGCTATAATTATTATCTATTTTCAACTAATCAGCCAGAAGAATGTCAATGTTCTCCAGACCAAGTCTGTCATTTACTGCTGGGGTTAGATTATCCAAGGTTATTGCTTGGGGTAATAATGGCATAAATAAAAATGGCATAAATGCAACTCCAATCAGTTGGGACTTATTTTGTGCATATTTTCATAGGGCCACAGGTAGAGGATTTCTGCAGAAATATTTGTCCACATTACAGCCAAGGACCCCACTCAGTCTGGAAAATGGGAAATAGTTTGGAAATTCATTAAATAATTTTCCTGATTTTGAAAACAGGGAAAATGAGCCTGTTTGTAAAGAAATTTTCCGGCTAGTCTGGAATTTTTTAATTATAAAAATATAATAATAAATTTGGAACGCATGAAAATTGACGTTAATTTCGTTAATCGTCAGTCTCATCTACTTTTAGCCTTTCTGTTATCGAAAGGACTTTGCAAAAATGCTAGTGGTTTCCGCTTAACTGTGCATGCGTTTTGAGCTCTACAAGTACAAGTTTCGAAAATGAAATTTCGTACCGTACTACTTTGATAGACCAGAAATATTTCTTTTCTGTTCAGTTTGCCAATAAGGAAAGAGATGTTTATTTGGTAAGTAAAGTGTAAAATATAGTAAATAATGTATCTAGTTTTTAATTGTGAGGTAACCATTATAAATAGAAATCTACTTGTCCAAGCCCTGTCTAAAATGACCAACCTTAACGTACTTTGTTATGTCTTATTCTTAATAAGTTGACTTTTAACAGTTTTACTAAAGTGTAATTTAAAAATAATACCACTGTGCCTAATTGGAATGAGCAATTCAATAATAATACTAATAATAGGAGCTTTTGATATAAATCATAGTTCAAACCCATGACCATATTAGGGGAACTTGATTTTTAAATATAGGTCTCTATCTATAACAATAACAAAACCATCCACATCTATTTTTAATTAGAGCTAGGCAGTCTTTAAGTTTAAGGTCACTTTAAATTTAATTATGGAGTAGGCCTTTTAAATTTAAATAGTTTTTTTTTTTTTTTAAAGGGGATTTTTATAAATTTTTTTTTTTTTTTTTTTTTCAAAATAATTCAATACATAAAACTAAAATAATAACAGGCAAATTTTTTGAAGTTTGAACTAAAAAAAATGTTAACATTATAATAGAGTGTACTAAATTAAATTTAAATAGGCTAATATATTATTAGTAATATATTTCAGTTATTTTGTGATATTATTTTTGTGTAGTGTAGTTTAATAGTTTATGTCTGGCTTCGGAACTTCATTTAAATGTTACTAAAACTAGTTGATTTAATACACCAATTCAGTGAGCCTGACAAAACTGTATTTAGTTATCCTTTATTTATAGTTTACACTCCTGTACTCTGGGTATAAGTCACTGTATTATTACTACTATTCATAAGCACAATTTATTGTGTGGGGTGGGTGGTCAATGATTCGTTCCCCTGGGGAAAATCCTGACTATGCCGTTTTTATCTGCATATGCCTATCTTAGTATCTCTTCTAACTCTGTATTTCCATATTTTAGTACTGTATAATATAGTTTATTTGATGTATGCCTTACTATAAAATATAAAACTAGAATGATGATAATAAGAATATCTTTTATTTTGTTTTACTATTCAGGATCTAGGCTCAATAAAATAATGCCCAGCAGTTCCTTTAAAGACTGATAGTCAGGAAAATCATGAGTGAACAAGTCATCGCTGCTACAATGTTCTTGAAATTTTTATATCAAGTATTCAAGACGAAAATGTTTTATGTCAATCATTATCTCGTTCAACTTCTGCTTTATCACCTATCTTAGGTGTCCACTTCTGCAATTTATCAACCAAGCTCCCAATTAATGTGTCTAAAAATAAAACCCTAATTCTAGAGATTTTATTGACACTTAAGTGTGTGTACTCTCTATCACTTAAATGTGTGTACTCTCTATTCATTTTCATCACAAGAAGAAAACATTAACTCCATATTAGAAAAGATGCTTTCCACTTGTGGTAGCTATAAGTATGTTCTAAAATGCCCCAGAAAACCAATTTTAAAAAAATGAGCCTGCACTTTAAAATTAAAAATAAACAATTTTTCAAGTCTCAAGTAATTTGAAAAATTGCAATTGCTAGGAAATTTAATAAATTATTGCATGTGTACACCTTTATTGCTTAATTGTTTTCATTTATGTTGTATTTCAATGTTGTTTTTACTTTGACAATTTCATGCTTGTTTTTTTATATTATCAACAAAAATGTTGTGTTGTTGTGAAAGTCAGGAATTTTTTTGTTTTTAGTTGGGAAAAAGTAAGTTATTTTGTTTTTAAAAAAGATTTGGAACGCTGTACAGCATTGTCATCATTGGCGTCATATTTTTTTAGAGATATTTTAATTTTTTTGACATGATCTTAGACAAGTGGTCGCGACCCCTTTGGGGGTCGAACGACCCTTTTACGGGGGTCGCCTAAGACCATCGGAAAACACATATACTCTACAGATATGAAGTATCAACTAAAATAATTTTGTGGTTAGGGGTCGCAACAACATGGGGAACTGTATTAAAGGGTCGCTGCATTAGGAAGGTTGAGAACCACTGCTTTAGACTAACCTAATTAGACTTTGTTTTAGGTGAAACACATTTTTTTTTTAATGATCCAAACTTGCGTAATGACCTGATATACCATCATATATCAGCTAATTCTCCAAAGATATTTTTACTATTGAGTGTAGTCGTGCTCTTAATTGTTACAATTTCTTATACATTAGGTGCAGGTCACCCAGGCAGCATCAGCATTACAACAAATTCAACACACTCCAGTACAGCAAACAACAGTTGCAACAAATGCCCAAAATACAGCTGTTCAATTGCCAAGTAAGTGAAATATTCTTAAAATTAAGCCCTAGTATCTCAGTTTTGCTTTATCGTTTTCTTATGTGAATATAGAATTCAGACAAACAAGATAAATTCCTGAGATTTTAAGTCAGATTGTTTGTTATTTAAGTGTGATCCTAGATAACCAGTTTCTGTACAGAGTTATAAATATAGTAATATTAACAAGACAACCTCTTCTCTTATAATAAGTTAAAGAAACTATTGTGCTTTCTTTTGATTCAAACAAACAAAACATAACATGAGTTTCGACTTAGATAAACTTAAACAAACAGAACATAACATGAGTTTAGACTTAGATAAGAAAACTCTTACAAAGCAAAATTGATATGTTATGATTTATCTTTTGTCTAACGTCCTGGAAGAAGATTTTTATGCTATATATGCTGTAATGCTATATTATTCTGTTAGTACCATATCATCATAGGATTAGATGCTAAAATAATGATGCTGGCCCAAAGTAACCACTAAAGCCATTCCAGTTTCAGCTTAAAATATAACATAGTACCATTAGGTTGCAGGATTGTGTAGCCAGTTTGAACTCAAGTGGCCTCGCAATCCTGAAATGCTCAAATGAATCTGATAAAAGACGTTAATAGATTACTTTTATTTTTGTAGCTGGTCAGATAATTCAGCAACAATTCCAGTTACAGGTAGGTCAGAACATTAAAAACAATTAGATCAATTTTCAAAAATCTAATTAGCCTCTTTAATTTTCTATTCTTATTCCTTTATTAGTGTCATCCAAAATATATATATATATATTTTTTTTATTATAAATGGTCTTTGAATTACTTTTCTTTAAAAAAATCATTTGAATATGTCTGCCTATATAATTTTCTGTGCTAAATCTCTCTCATAGAGTAGAGCAAAATAATATTTCTAAAATTAAGAGAATTATTTTTTTAATGAAGTTTAAATTATAAAGTTAAAGTTATAACTATAGCCCAATTATTTTTCTGGCAGTCTCCTCAGCAACAAGTCATTCAACTTCCACAAGTTCAGCAGGTTGTCTCACCCATTCAGAGCACAGTTTTACACCAGCTACAGCAACAGCAACACCCACAGCAGCTTCAGTCTCAAGCTCAGGCTCAACAGCAGCAACCCACAACACAGGTGTACCAGCAAGTCATAACAGCTTCTGGGCAAGTTGAAAGTATTCCGGTATGTTTACATTTGGTCTAAATAGTATTGTATCATGTAAATAAAACCTTTTAAACCCCAAATTGAGTTTCATTTCATGACCATATATTAGATTCTACTGTATCATTTAACTAAATCATTTTAAATCCCAAACGAGTTTTATTTCATGGCCATCTGTTAGATCAGTCGTTGATTTTGGTGGAGTGATGCTTAAAAAAGTAAGACTTCAATAATAAGGATGGGATGAGGATGCCAAGGCAATGAATTTTCATGCTAAACAGACTTCAGATTGCAGTGTTATCAATTTCCTTGTAGAAATGCTATGAGAATATCTATTATTCTAATGTGGTTTCAGCACAGTGAAATTTAGGTGTCATTTGCACATCTATGAAATCACTGCACTAAATTGTTTAAATGCACTTAAAGATCAAATATTCATACCTATTTGGAAAAGGAGTTCATAATGAAACAACGAAATGTGTCAATGTTGGTCACATTTTTTTTTTTTTCTGAAAAAAATGACCTTATTAATTACAAAACAAATAAAGTTGAAATAATGAGTTACAACACCCTTTTCCATGAATGGTTTATGGTCTTTGCCAAGCTATATTGAAGGTACCTATTGTACAGGTACCTAAGACTAATATATTTTTATGATTCTTGAAATCGATGTTCATTGGAGTGTAGTTAAAAAATTGAAATCAGTCATACATTATATGGCGCTTCCAACATAAATTATGTGGCCCTCCCCAAATAAATGAGTTTTGTTTAAAAATCACTTATGAAACCGATAACGTATCAGTTTGAAAAAAAAACAACTACTAAGAAAATAAAGACAATATTAGCATCCTTAATAATAATAAACTAACAAGTGTTTATAGACGATATGGCTTAGAGCTGACCCCTAGTTTGATAGCCCACTGTTCAGTTGAATGCCTAGACATCAATAAAAGATTTTAATTTTCACAGATTCAATTGACCCCACAACAATTACAGAGTATACAGTTACAACTGCACAACAAAATTGCTGGTCAACAAATAGTTGTGCAAACTCAGCAAGATCCTAATGTCCATTTTTCACAAGCTCAGGTATTTTTAAATTAAAAAATAACATTAAAATTGTATTATTCAGTGTTGCGAATTTCCTTCAAGGATGAGTTCTCAATGTATCAAACCCTGGGTAGTATGTACTGTGTTTACTAGGAGACAGTTTGAAAAAGCTCAATTGTTAGTCAAAGGTAACAACTCTCAACTTGCAAGCCACACTTAATAATGACAAGCAGAACAAGGCTAGGTGGAATAATGTATGAAGATAACAATTCTTTATTTATACACTCCGTCAGGTTGATAACGTAACATCATGTCAATTCCAAAAAGGGGACAGCTACAATACTCTTGACAATTCAACACTACACAACTTTTGACACACTGACTAATCTGACTTACGATAAGATTCAATAGAACTAGCTCCCGTCCCGTTTTCACTCAGTATTTATTCATCCATTGCTTATTAAACTGTCAACCCAACCAATGAGATAACAAGACCAGCAACATACCTCACGGATCATGATGTTCCATACACAAACTAAAAAACGTTCAACAACCATTTCATAATACCGGTACTTAGCAATATATTTTGTCCAAATTTATGTAACATTGATTTTTCCCCCTTCCTAACACCATACACAACTGTTAATTAGGATACTCTTGGATAATAATTATTATTTTTAGGCTATATGAATCAAATGTTCAAATACTTATTTATCAACAGCCGTTGCTCAACATTGTGAACCATTCCTTTACACAATGCATTAAAATACTAATTACGTTTGTCATTACTTTAACCCCATTTAAACTCATTCAATTTTGTTTCTACCAGATGTACCAACTCCAACAAGCAGGCCAACAGCAAATCTTTATCCAGTCAGATGACCACACAGATGGGGGAACAGATTCTTAGATTTAAAGTGCTTTAAATTTCAAGGAGTAATTAATTAAAAGTTAAACTTTAAGATAAAAATGCTATTGTTTTAAAAGAGATATATAATTAGGGCCAAGAGAAGCTTATATTTCTTTGGAATCTCTCTTTACGTGATGTTTTATCCTTCCATATTCTTGGATGTTTGATCTTATGTTAATAAATCTATGTACAGCTACATTATTGAATAATGTAAGAGTGTTTCCTTAAAAATTAATTGATCAAATAGCATAGTGGTTCTCAAAGGCCGCAGGATAAAAATGGAGATGATTAAATGCACTGAAGGTGAGAGGAGGGCTCACTGTGTTGTTTGTGCAGGCCATTTATTGTAATTTATTTTAAAAAATTTTGCTTACTACTACCAACTACCAGAATAAATTTTCCATGAAAAAGTAAATGGTATTTGGGAGTGCCAGTGATATTTCTATTGTGGGCTTAGGTGATGTAGTGTAATGGGTTATTGTTGATCTTAGAGAAGCATAAATTCCAGTAAAACAATTCCTGGTGAGCTGCTCAGGGAATATTAAATATCTGTATTTGACTGCACATTTTAGATAGGAACCAATTTAAAGTAAGAACAATGGTTCAGCCAACGTTTTATTTTCTGACATACTTGTCATCATTAGATTATTTATTTGTAATAATTAATTTGGCATATCAGAGTTTGCCCTCAATGAAATTACTTCAGATTTGATGAAATCTGAATAATCATTGCTAATGCGGTCTTTGAAGGTTGGTCCCAATTGGATCATTTGAACACTCTTTTGTTTGGCTTGGGAATGATGCTCCTATTTGATCTACGCCTTTTGTAACTTCAAGTCAATATTTGATGTAACTTGTTATTGACATGATCCATCAAAAATGTTCACTGTGAATAATGTTGACATACACTTACTAAGCATTCTCAATGGCATTTAGAAACCTGGCCAACGATGACTAAAAGAAAAGGACTAAAAGAAAATGTTTAAGTTGTGCCTTGATTTAATAGTGTGAACAAAGTGTTGATCATTTAACTTGCACTTTTTTGTGTTTTTAAAAAAAATGATACCAGAAACCATTTTTTTAAATTAGTGAATTAAATAATTGATTAGTTTGAGTATCTTGAAATTTAAAAATGAAGGAATATCATATTTGTTGTTTGTATGATCTGCCATATCTATTTAATTCTTATCAATTAAAAAAATGCATTGGTCATGTTTGGAATACTTTTTTTTAGATAATGTTCAATTTTTGTTTGTCATATTTTTATGTTGAAAAAGAATGGATTTTGTGATTAATTAATTTTTTTATATGAAAATACATTATTCTCATTTATTTTTCATCTGAACCCTGTGGTAGAAAGATATCTAGTTTGCCAATGAGATCATTCTTGCCTTGTCCTGAGAGGTCAGAAAGTAACAGATTTGAATTGACCTGATAGACAAGTAATGAAACTATTCTTCAGGAGCTAAATGTTTGGTAAAAAAGCTCCAAGCAGCAGCCTTATTATTAGTCAATAACTGTAGTCATAACCAATTAACATTCATTTGGTGGAATAAATCAGAAGTGTAAATAATTTAATAAAATGTTTCATCAAATTAGTGATTCATGAAAATCGAGGTTTATCATTATTTTATTTTTTTTAAACCTTATTTGAAAAGAGTTTAAAATATGATTGCATTCATTTTAATCATTGAAAATTTAGAATGAACTGGGGCTTAAATGTTCAAATTCAGTCAAATAGTTAATATTTGAATATATTATGTCCAAACACTAGTAATTGTCCTACGGTATATTTGAATGTATACTGCTCAAACACTAGTTATTGCCCTATACTTGAATGTATACTGCTCAACACTAGTTATTACCCTATATTTGAATGGATACTGCTCAACACTAGTTAATTGCCCTATATTTGAATGTACAGGTGTACTGATCAACACTAGTTATTGCCCTATATTTGAATGCACTGGTGTACTGCTCAAACACTAGTTATTGCCCTATATTTGAATGTATACTGCTCAAACACTAGTTATTGCCCTATATTTGAATGCACTGGTGTACTGCTCAAACACTAGTTATTGCCCTATATTTGAATGTATACTGCTCAAACACTAGTTATTGCCCTATATTTGAATGTACCGGTGTACTGCTCAAACACTAGTTATTGCCCTATATTTGAATGTATACTTTTCAAACACTAGTTATTGAGTTGCCCTGTTTAGAGAAGATCTTGAAAAACTACATTTGTTGAGTAACAATCCAACTTTGTAGAACAACCCAGTTAGTATTTTATAGTATTAAAAAATGAAAGACTTAAAATAAAAACAAGTAATAGTAATTAAAGCTCAAATGTATTTCATTAATAAACCAGAAATCAAATAATCCCAGCTTGTACATCCCAGTGGCCAGTTTGGGTGAACATAAACACTTTGAGCTGATGAGAGTTAAGGATGCTTGTCTCTCCATAAAGTAAAGGGTTTCTGCTAAGGCACTGGCAACAATGCTGTAGTTGTAGGGAGTTTTCATGCCAGAAATCAAAGAGGATTTTTAAATAAAATATTGCAAGTAAGAACATTGTATCCAGGAAACTTCTAGTCACAAACAGCAGGGCTAGCCTGCATTCAGTAGTTGATGTATTAGGTAATCATAAACCAAATATCAATGATAGCAATCATTTGGGAAAAAAAAGACAAAGATCATTTCATCCTGATAAAAGCTGGACAATTGACTAACAGAATGGAGCTTTGGCTTATATAACATAATGAAACTCGGTTATTAACAATTGAAATGTTTTAAGGCATACACTTAATGTAGTCCTCAACATTTAACGTGTCACTTTTCAATTGGTTACAACTTACAACAAATACCGAAGACAAAAGCTAATACCGTTATGTAATGTTAGATACCCAAATCAGTGTATGCAAATCATTACTTTGAGCAGCATCATCTGAACTAATGACCTCACTATCACAATGCCTGTGAGATGTACGAAGTTTTAAATCATTCATGACTAGGGCTCTTTTTAATACCTCAGGGATAGGTAATAATTTAGCATTCCTCTGCAAATTTGGTGCTAGCATCTGACGTACAAGCAAAAAGCACAGAGTTGTGAGAGATTGTGGGCCAGTGTCAAATTCAAGGTTGTGGCCCAGGGGAAGCTGCACATCCTTAGTGATCCGGCCACCGGCCTGGATGAGTGCCTGTAAGGTTTCCATCTCTGAATGGAGAGCGGCACTGTAGACTGAAGTTTTCCCTGGATCAAGAAATTCAACGAACTAGTTAAACAATAAGTATTTGGTTAGTAGCAGCAAACTAGTTAAACAATAAGTATAAGTATTTGGTTGGTAGAAATCCACCAAATAAATTACCATCACAGTCTGTCAAAAAGTTATTTAAAAAATCTACAGTGACATATATTAATTTTAAATACGATTTAATTCAGTTGCGATGTTAAAACTTTGTGTATATTAATAAATTAAGATACCCTCAGAATTCTTTGCATTGACATTGGCTCCAGCCTTGATAAGATAATATGCAGAGTAGCCTTGATTGTAGCACACAGCTGTATATAATGGGGTAGCACCGTAGTAATTTACTCCTTCTATTGGAACGCCTTTCTTCAGTAATAGCTGAAATTTAAATAAACTTCAATTTCCAAACAAAAAATGTGCTAAAATGAGATCACGAGTTTCATCAAAAGGGATTAGCAAATACAACAAATAGATCTCTAAGAAATAATAAAAATAACTTCAATAATTTGAATCGGTATGGATGTATGTGACACTATGACACTACCATGTAAACGGAGAAAGAAATCATGAATAATATATCCTCCAGGGCCAGCATTAGGCGGGTGCCGGGCCTTGGGATAAATTGAATTTTGCAGGGGCCATTGATGTTACATACCCTGGCTGAGGGCTTAAGCCACGCCTTAGTCATACTGGGTCTTTATGGTCGTAATGCGACATGACACAGCCATACTTGGTCTTCATGGTCATAATGGGACATGCAATAGTCACATTGGGTCTTTATGGTCATAATGGGACACTTCTTTGTAGGTATTTGTTCTCTTGCTTATTGTCTGAAATGTCTTTGTTTTTCTACTGTTTTTCAGTGGAATTGCCCTGAGCCAAATTATGCATCGGGACTGGGCTTTTGCTATTTTCATGGCTGTCAAAAAATAAATAATTCAGAAAGACACTAAGCTAAATGAGATGTTCAGATAAATTCAGAACTATCTAGTCTATATCCCGTAAATCACATCCCAACACCATGTCCAAATCCACACAGTGTTTGCTCACATTATGAAGTCGAGGAATGGATCTGCCGAATTTCATATAGAATTTAATAGACTAAAATGTCAATGTACAGTTTATATTGCTCCAAACATATTTTTAAAATTCACAATGCCTGTTCTACTAGTCACAAGAAGTATTTTTTCCTGAAAAAGTCTTATGTGTCTCATCTCTAGATTCATATTCAAAATTGTCAGGATTGGAAATTACGAATGAGTAGGAACGTCCTAGATATATTAATACCGTTACTATAGAATTTCCATTCATTGTCTTCTTATTGAGCTCTGAAAATGTCATATTGAGGGCACTTTACTATGATTCTACAGAAGCCTAAGGTTCCCTGATCTTTGACTGACCTAAGAAATAAATTTAGTCTACATCACCGTTTCCAAAAACGGTGCTCCTTACAACATGAGACAAGAAACATGATAAAAGCTAAAGTAAAGCAGACATTTCAATAACAAAACTTGTAACAGCTAGAATCAAATGGTAATACTTATTCACTCATCCTGCATTGGCAGGTCATGTGTTAAACATATTTTTTGAGATATTTTAGGTAAAATAAAACGATAAATAATTAATAAATCTGGCACCGGTTCCTGGTTCATTGGGAAACTTATCCATTGGTCCGCCAAACTTAAAAAATGTTTGAAAAACACTGGTCTAAACATTTTAAAAATTTTGGGTCTGCTGTTGGAGGAGGATTAAAAATAAATAAAACTACCAGTATATTTAACAAATATTTTGTACAATTAAGATGTAATTTATTACGGTTATCTTATTATGAGCAGTTAAAATAGAAGGGATATAAAAAATCTAACTTTAAAAAAACAACACATTTCAGTCTAGGACTAGGATTAGGATGATTAAAAGGCTCTTTCAACAGAAAATGGCAACAATGCAAGGAAGATCTTACATGACAAAGCTAGGAATAAAAGAACAAAATGAAGTAAGAGAAACACTTAAGAAAAAAAAAATTAGAGTTTTGTTAAATCTGCTTCTTCAAAATTGGAGCTGTGACTAAAATTTAATAGACTATTTTTTAAATTAAATTTAGAACTTCTGATAAAATTTTTGAGCAAATAAACTTTTACTTTTATCAAAAAGAAATGCAAATTAGAGATTAGGGAAATTTATTAAGCATTGAAAAAGAAAGAAAAAAACTGAATTCTAGATACTACTCACATCTATAATCTCCACATTTCCTTTACTACAAGCAATGTGCAGTGGACTATCAAGTTGGGAAAGTGTGACCTCTCGTGGGTTGGCTCCATTTTCCATAAAAAGTTCCACAATTTCGATATAACCATAGCAGACAGCAGTGTGGAGGGGTGTCCAGCCATCATGATCAAGATGTGATATTATATCTGCTCCTCCTTCTACCAGTGCTCTACAGACTTCTGTGTGACCGAGGCAGGAAGCCGTGTGAAGTGGGGTGAAGCCATCAGTTTGAGTTGCATTAACTGATGCCCCTGCTTCTATCATCCACTATAATATGATAATATAATATCATCCACAATATTAATGTTAATCACACTAGTTGTCACTATATAAAATAATTAAAAATTAAGTTTAAATGTTGAAAATAATTACAATTTTTAAATTATTTTTACAAGAAGTATATACCAGGATAGTGAGTCATATACTGATATGTCACACAAAGTTGGCAAGTGTGCTGCAAGATTTTGTTATAAATTAATAAAATCAGCTCTAAAAAGGTTTTTATCTGCATATCAATCATAGGGTATTAAAATAATTATGGCATCTATGATATTACGAACATTTAATCTAATATATAAATAAAATTAATTATACTAATCTGCTCAGAAGCTGTTCCTCACAATACAAGTATCTTTTGATATTATCATAATAATTCAATGATTCGTGAAATTATATTTAACAACTATTTTGAGTGCACAGAAAAATAAAAAAGAAGATTAAAAACCACTGCAATAAAAAAAAATTGTAGCAACTCTAGGACTCGTGAATTGTGTACCTTTATCATGTGAGATTGTCCATACATGGCCACCCAGTGAAGTGGTGTCCTGTGATCACTGTCAGGCTGGTTGATGCTTGCACCACGCTGCACCAGAAGCTTGAGAACACAAAGATGGCCTTTAGAAGCAGCAATATGTATGGGACGTCTTTCCCACAGAAGGTCATCACTGTTTGGTGTGTTAGGATCTGCACCAGCATCTAACAACAGATTCATTATCTCAACATTTCCTTTGGCTGCTGCGCGGCAAATAGGACTGACCATTTGAAGATTAAAATTTGGATTTAATCTTCTAACCATTAATAAATCCTTGACAATTTCTGTGTCATCATTATGTATTGCATCCATTAATTTAACCTGTAGATTGGTGAAACCGACCTCATGAACATGCACATTGGTTGTATGTTCCATGGCATGTGAGGAGGGCCAATCAAATTTAATGAAAGAAATAGCTTGCAACATTGGTGTTGTTCTGTCAGTGAACAATGGCACACCTTTAACTTCTTTTATTTCTCTTTCTCCTGAAATAGCATCCCTTAAATTGGACATTGCATAATATTTGCCTTGTGTGCCCTTTTGCTGATCTCTGAAAGAAGCACTTGCATCTGAGCAATGAGAAATACTTGTGTGGTCAGCATCAAAGTTTTGAGTGTAAAAGTCTGAGTCATGTACTTGTATTTTGCTGCAAATGCAGTCATTAAACTTCTTGTAAGTGAGTGAGCTAAAAGGTTCTTTATCACTGCTATCCTTTTCTGAGTCATTTAACACCTCATTAAGTGGAATGTTTCCATCTTGAGCAGTATCCATCATTATCTATAAATTAAAAAAAAAACCCAACAAAAAACATGCAAAAAAGGTAGAAGTAGAAAGGTGCATAGTTTTACGATTACAATTTACTGACATTATTAATCAAAACACTGGCCCTTTCCTAAAGCTTTTAAGTAAGATCAATAACTTCTAAAAATAGTGCAAAATGGATGGACCGACCTATAAATAAGAATTCATATACTTGCTGATACAAGAATTAAACTTAAGTTCACTCTAAAATGATAAAGCATATTATTTAATATAGTATAGCCTATCTAAAGCTTACAACATCACATTACATCAGGGGTCTCAAACGTGCCCCCCGCGGGTCATTTGCTGACCGTAAGATCATATTTTGTGGCCCGCTACATGACAGCAAAGTTTAGTGTTAATGCGGCCCGCGCGTTTTCCCCATTCGCATATCTATAAAGTGACCCTCCGCGATGGTTTTATTGAATCTCTCTAAGAATTTAAGGTGAAAAAATTTAGAGTTAGTTCAAAGAAATAGTATTTTAAAACACCATGAGACCCATAGAATTATTAATATACTTGTATAATGCAAAGTTATAGATGCAGGATAGTTAGCAAGCACTACTAGGAGGATATTTTTTATAAAATGTAGCTGTCTGCAGTAAAACTTAAGTGGTTGACTAATTTTTTAATAAGTAATAAGGCAATAAGTCAATAAGGACATTAAATTAATAATTATATTATTCAATATAATTATAATATGAGTCAATTATGATTCTATATAGGCTTGATGCTATTTTGAATTTATACTAATTTGTGGTCTTTCCTTAAATGTCATTTATTATAAATTTTAAAAATATTAATTATCATAAGTCTTGGGGTATTACTTTTAGAGTTAGAAATAGCTTTAATTTAATGACTACACTCTAATAAATTTTGGAGTTAAAAAAAAAGGGGGGGGGGGATACTTACTAGTAAGTCTTAGTACTGTCCAATGCACTTAGCCTCATTGGTTTACTAGCAAAACGCACTAAAATAAGGGATTACCGACTAGGACTATGACAATGACAAAAGTAAAAATGTTAATAACTTAATATAAATAACATAAGAAGGACTATCGTAAGTCGTAAGGGACAGAGGCTGATCAAATCATCAAAAATAAATTAAATAAATGCCACTTTGACTTTTCTTTACCTTCTGTTATTTAAAAACATTTCTAGTATTTAGTAGGCCTAACTACTCATACTAATATAACTGTAGTTAGTATTTCAACCATAAAGAAAGGTGGTATTTTGTCATATTTTGTATCCTATCAGGTAAGTAAGCGTTAAGAGTTAGTAAGAGTTATTTCCCATGGTTCTAAGTCCGTGATCTCCAGACTTTTCAGCCAGAGGGCCGCATTAACTATTAAAAAGCAGTTCGGGGGGCCGACTACACACTCGGGGTCCAAATGAAAAAGAATCAAAATATGGATATTGTTTTTGATTATTTATTTAATATTATTTTATTCAGTTATTTAATAACATATTGATACACTACACATAAACAAATAAATGAAAGGACTGCTTTCAAGCTTAGTAAATGAATGAAATAGCGACACGAGGTATGTGGAAGCTTGAAATAAGATAACAATAACAGGACAAAAAACAAGGACGTTTCGGCATAAAGCCTTCCTCAAACAACAATAGAAATGAAATTGAGTTGTCTACTGTGCTCTTTTCTTTGTTATATTTTCATTTTTATTAAGTTGTTAACATTTTTACTTTTGTCATTCTCATAGTCGTAGTCGGTAATCCCTTATTTTAGTGCGTTCTTCTCAGAACTTTCTCACAACCTAGCCATCTTACTGTTGTGTAATATGGTAAATCTTGCGATTCTGTGTCTGTCTCTGAACTGTCTATAGTTGAGCCGTTCAGTCCATGTGACTTAATTAAATTCACCATATTCACCACATGATTCAATACAATGCTAATGTCCACATATTTATACATGGATATTGTTTCTTTTCGGGATTGTCTTTCTGGAACTGAGTTAGTGAAGTCACCACCTAAAGATATTGAACAACTAGTCCTTCTCTACATTCGGACTCTCATTTCTCTATTGGACACATATGCCCCATTGTCAAATAAATATGTTAGTGACAGATCTAACTCCCCTTAGTTCATTCCCACAGTTCAGAAATCCAAGCTTGTTAGGTGTGTAGCTGAGAAGCGTTGGAGAAGGCGTGGCCGTGAAGTGGACAAACTATCTTTTCTGAAAGCACGCAACATGTATTCGCAAAAAATCAGGCATGCAAAGTCTGAACATGTTCAATCTCTCCTTACGGCAGCAGGTGCTGATTCTCACAAGATGTTCTCTGTGGTGAATGGCCTTCTGGGGAAGAATTCACCCCCCCCCCCCCTTGTTTTGCCTGACATGAGAAGCCAACAAGCTGCAGTTTTACTTGGGGATTTTTTTTTCCAGGAAAAAATTAAACCCATCAGAAGGGGCTTTGGGGGATGTTGGACTTTTCTGAAAGCCAGCAACATGTATTCTCAAAAAATCAGGCATGCAAAGTCTGAACATGTTCAATCTCTCCTTACGGCAGCAGGTGCTGATTCTCACAAGATGTTCTCTGTGGTGAATGGCCTTCTGGGGAAGAATTCCCCCCCCCCCCCCTTGTTTTGCCTGACATGAGAAGCCAACAAGCTGCAGTTATACTGAGGGATTTTTTTTTCACAGAACAAATTGAACCAATCAGAAGGAGCTTTGGGGAATGTTGGGATTTGTCTACGTTGGAGAATGTCCTTGAAGGCAACCTTCTGGTGGAATTTTCCCCAGTTTCCCCATGAACAGTTAAGACATATAATTATGTTATTTAAACAAACATCTTCTATTGTTGACCCCATCTCAACCAAGATTGTTTTGGACTGTCTGGAAGTCTTGCTTCCTGTACTGGTCAACATCGTGTATATTAACCTTCAATCTGCTACAGTCCCACGTCTCTTCAAGACAGCGGTCGTTAAGCCTTAAGCTTTAAAAAAGTCGTCTGGACCCAAATGACTGCAAGAATTTTCGCCCGGTCTCCAACCTGCCCTTTGTATCTAAGATTCTTGAGAGAGTTGTGTCACAGCAGCTTGTGCAGCATCTAAACACTTATGACTTACTTGACAAGTTTCAATCTGCATATCGACCTGGGCACAGCTGTGAGACAGCCCTGCTACGTGTCATGAATGGATTTTTGTGGCTGACCGTGGTGATCTGACAATATTGGTCTTCTTGGACCTCAGTGCTGCTTTTGATATGATTGACCTGAGCTTTTTCTGTCAATACTTCTGAATGAGGCAGGCATCTCTGGACCAGCACTTCACTGGTTTTTTTTCTTATCTGACTGACAGGACTCAGTTGAATACCTATTCTGTTCTCCATGTACACTTGCCAGCTTGGCAAAATTATTGAAAGCCACGGTATTTACCGCAAACTATTTGCGGATGACACAGAATTGTACAAATGTTTCCGCCCTGATCCCTTGGAGTGTGCTGCTGCTGTTGAGGCTGTCGAGGACTGCTGTTTTGCTGTAAAAGAATGGATGTCATCAAACAGACTAAAATTAAATGCCGATAAGACTGAGGTAATTATTTGTGGTTCAGACGCCAATCTTCAGAGGTTGCCATCGCATAAATAAAAGTTAGTGATTCTGTGATCCCGTTGTCCTCCACTGTGAGAGACCTTGGCTTTTATATTGACAGTCAACTTAGAATGATTCCCCATATCAGTTCTGTGGTCAATGCATGCTTCTGTCATCTGCATGCCCTGGGTCAGCTGCCTCCTCAACTCAATAAGAGAACAGCCAATGCTGTAGCGGTAACTCTAATCCAGTCAAGATTAGATTACTGTAACATTAGTTTGTTGGGTTTACCTCAGAACCAAATTCAGAGACTCCAGAAGGTACAAAATACTGCAACACGCATTGTATCGCGGATAAAGAAATCCGAACACATCACCCCAGGTCTCATCACACCAGTTCTTAGAGATCTCCATTGGCTTCCTGTGAGTGAGCGCATTAACTACAAAATTCTGTCCCTATGTACAGCTGTATAGAAGGCTCTGCACCGGAATATATTAAAGAACTGATGTATAAACATGTATCCTTAAAGAACCTGCAGTCTTCAAGACAGTTCTTACTGAGAGTTCCTAGAGTGGATGAACACAGACAAAAGTCTTACGGAGTGCGCTCTTTTGAAGCGATAGCGCCAACATTATGGAGCAGTTTGCTTCAATCTTTGAGCGGAATTTTAAATGATAAAAAATAATTTAAGAAACATTTAAAGAAATTTTTGTTTAAATCGATTTAAGAAAACCAGAGCGCAGTGAGCTGGCTAAAGTAGCATGGATACCAGCGCTATATAATATAAATATCCAATCAATCAATCAATTTAGCACACAAAGCTTGCTGATGAAAAATGCAGTGCAGGAGCATTGGTTGTAGAATGTTTTTCTCCTTAAACATCTGCTTGACTTGTCCAACCGAGCCTTTCTTTACGTCACTCATGTACTTTCCTCCATCAACAGTCGGGCAACTTAGGTTAACTCAGTCCTGTTATGATCAGAAAATGTTTTTTTTTTCAACTCATTGAATATAATCCTCTCCATGTAACAGTGCCGTATATACTATGTAGAGAAGCCAACTCTTGTGTTATGTTCATGTCTTCTTCCACACCTCTAACGAGCAGTTGAGAGGTGGAACAGCTGTCAAGCGATTTCAGCGAGTGAAAAATGGCGAAAGTTGCTTGCATTTTTCTCTAATTTAATCACAATGTTTTCACCCATGGCTGCAACACGGCAGGCAATGGTATTTGCATCCAAAGCTACATTTTCAATTTTTTTTTACTTTTCTGGGCAAAGTTCCTCAACCACTACCACCAAACATTCCTTCACTACTTCACCATCTGTAAACGGTTTGCCACTTTTAGCCAGGACGTAGGCAACGTTATAACCTTAGTCAAGGATTCATTTTCTTTTGAGGATTGACTAAACAATGTCCTCTGAGATGTGAGTTGATTTTGTAGTTTAGAAAAATTTCCAGCACAGTGTATCTTTCTCCTGATGTTTGCTTTGATAATCACAATTTCTTTGCAAACCACACACAATGCTTTCTCGCTGGATTTGATGAAGAAGTATTTCAACCTCCATTCTTCTTCAAATTCACTCATCATCTATTTTTCTTTTCCTCTTCCCGGCCATCGCTGGGCGCTAAAATAAAGTGAATTCAACTGAAAGTATCTTGCACAAAATATCGCCGAGGATTACATTTTTTTTTGTACAGAACTAGAACCTAAAAAGATGGAAAGGCGTAATAAATGAATAGTTGCTAGCTCACAAAAGCATTTTTTAAAAAGTTTTCTAAGGGATTCTTATCAAGAAAAAAAATGCTTGTGGCAGATTTTTATTCTGATTTTAAAAAGAGAAAAACAGCTGGGAACATATTTTATCTACATAGATATTAAACTATTTAAAATTACTATCTGTTATCCAGGAAAATAAAGGAGACAAGAGTGACTGCAACAACTATCGTGGAATCTCCCTCCTCAGCATAGTTGGAAAGGCTTTCGCCCGAGTTGCATTAACACGCCTACAGACCCTAGCATCGCGCGTGCTCCCAGAATCGCAATGTGGTTTTCGCGCAGGTAAGTCGACCATAGATATGATCTTCTCCTTGCGCCAGCTGCAGGAGAAATGCAGGGAACAACATATGCCTTTATACATTGCGTTTGTCGACCCCACCACGGCTTTTGATCTTGTCAGCAGAAGCGGCCTGTTTCAGATCCTCAAAAAGATAGGCTGCCCTACACGACTGCTTAACATCATCAAGCAGTTCCACGAAAACATGCAGGGCACAGTCTGCTATAACGGTGCCACACCAGAAGCTTTTCCAGTGGGTAGTGGAGTAAAGCAAGGTTGTGTGCTGGCCTGACAATTAGCGTAAAGAAAACTAACATTATGGCACAGGGCGCTGACTCCCTCCCCACTATCACCATTGACGACTACGACTTGGATACTGTTGACAGATTCACATATCTGGGATCCATCATATCGAGCACCCTCTCAATGGAGGGTGAGATAAGTGGGAGGATAGGGAAGGTCGCAACTGT